GATTTATTAAGAAAATTGCAGAAAAACATGTTGATGTTGATACCTTTCTTAAGTCAACAACCAATATGTGAATACTTCTGCGTCTGAACACTTTTCCACATTTGAACACTCAAGTCCCAATTTTTTAAAATGGGTCTATTAGCTCTGTTAGAAGCATCTACAGTGCATTAGTTTGTTCATTAATGTTGTGGTCACATTTGCTCCGATTTTTACTAATGGCACCCTGCCGATTGAGTATTTTGCTCAAAAGGGGAATACAATATCGAAAAACACTCAATCGGCCGGGCGCCGGCCGATGGATCAGAGCAAATGTGACCCAGACATAACAAGTTGAAGTTGAAGATTGATTTTGATAACATTTGTTATTCCCCTGAAGGTGCAAATGATTCAGATACAAAAAATAATGAAATACCTCATAAGCATTATAAACTTAAGGGTTTGTTTCATCCAAATATCTTTTCTAATTATTGAACTTAGATAGTCCTTCCTTGTTATTACCAGATGAATTGTATATAAACTGGATATTCTGATAGAGTAACAGTTTTCTCAGAAAATATTACATTTTCTAAGTGCCAGGGGTCATTCACCTCGAACCTTCCTTTATTGGTACCATGGAGGATTTCGCTTGATTAAAACGTCATAAATATTATGACAGAAAAAGATTTATCATATTAAAATATCAACATTTTCTAGGAGCTGACGATTATTCAGTTCAGACATTCCTTTTAAGGTATCTTGATGTACACATGTACATGTATATAGTTTGTTATATTGTTTGTTTGTTTGTTATTGTTGATAATATAATACAGAAACACTAATTTCTTCTAAATTACATTTTCTTTAAGCTAGAAATTATGAAAGATATTGTTCATTGATCAGTGAATTTTATCGTCATTCTTGCAATTTAAATTCAAAATCCAAGAGGATTAAAATAATAATACTATTTCAGAATTTCTTGAAATATAACTTCCTGATTGCAGAATTACACCCACATGTAGATATGTATGACATACTTAAAATGAAAGATGAATCTCATGAAATACGACTTCCTGGTTGAGTGACAATCTATGCTTCTTTGACACAGTTAAGATAAAATAACAATGAAATATTCACTTTTGAACTTCCTGAAACACGTCGCTTCTTGACAAAATTACATCGATGTAGAGGATTTCAATTAGGATGTTAGCGTTAGAGTTTCCGATTAAGGTATAATGCTTGCACGATTCTGCAAGTACAACTATCTAGGCCTCCTTGACATGTATTTAGAAAAACAAGTTAAGATTTACTGGAATTTACGCTGAATGAAAAAATGAATAAACAAAACATGTTTTCAACATTCAAGCATCCCTTCATTTGAACAACTACTCTAAATATAATGACAATCTGTTTCATTGTTGTTCTTTATTTTAATAAAACAACAATTTTTTTTACAAAAGTTGAGATCTTGACACCTTTAAAATCGAATCAAAATTGATGAAGAGTTTATTGGAAAGGTCTATTGCCTTAAATTAATAAGGGTGACATTTCTAGAGATCAAATTGGCCTTTGGGATGAACTTCATTCTGTATCATACTCTGCCAGGCCCGTAGCCAGGGGGGCCAAAAATTGTGATTTTAGCCATATTTGGGCCAAAATTGTCAATTGAACCCCCTAGGCAAATCCTAGCTACAGGTATGGGCCTGTCTGCCATCATGGTAACACATGCTTTGATGTACATTGTATTTCAAAGTGCAAAAATCAAAAAAAAAAATTCTGAACATGAGATGAACAGACATGCCCTTTTCCTAAATCCCTCTTGAGTTTTGTTATTAAATTGGCTTTGAAACATGCCAGAAAATATAAATCATTTTACACATTGTTATAAACAATACCTGGAAATGGAATCAATACTTTGTCTAATCAGTGAGAAATGAATGCGGTTTTTTATTGCTCCCAACAGGATGTGTGAGCAAGTATCAAATGATCTACACTCCCCTCCATAAGTGTGGCAACTGAATGTGTGAGCAAGTATCAAATGATCTACACTCCCCTCCATAAGTGTGGCAACTGAATGTGTGAGCAAGTATCAAATGATCTACACTCCCCTCCATAAGTGTGGCATTTGGATGTGTGAGCAAGTATCAAATGATCTACACTCCCCTCCATAAGTGTGGCAACTGGATGTGTGAGCAAGTATCAAATGATCTACACTCCCTTCCATAAGTGTGGAAACTGGATGTGTGAGCAAGTATCAAATGATTTACACTCCCCTCCATAAGTGTGGCAACTGGATGTGTGAGCAAGTATCAAAAAATTATCTACACTCCCCTCCATAAGTGTGGAAACTGGATGTGTGAGCATGTATCAAATGATCTACACTCCCCTCCATAAGTGTTGCAAACAGGATGTGTTAGCAAGTATCAAATGATCTACACTCCCCTCCATAAGTGTGGCAACTGGATGTGTGAGCAAGTATCAAATGATCTACACTCCCCTCCATAAGTGTGGCAACTGGATGTGTGAGCATGTATCAAATGATCTACACTCCCCTCCATAAGTGTTGAAACTGGATGTGTGAGCATGTATCAAATGATCTACACTCCCCTCCATAAGTGTGGCAACTGGATGTGTGAGCATGTATCAAATGATCTACACTCCCCTCCATAAGTGTGGCAACTGGATGTGTGAGCAAGTATCAAATGATCTACACTCCCCTCCATAAGTGTGGCAACTGGATGTGTGAGCAAGTATCAAATGATCTACACTCCCTTCCATAAGTGTGGCAACTGGATGTGTGAGCATGTATCAAATGATCTACACTCCCCTCCATTAGTGTTGAAACTGGATGTGGGAGCAAGTATCAAATGATCTACACTCCCCTCCATAAGTGTGGCAACTGGATGTGTGAGCATGTATCAAATGATCTACACTCCCCTCCATAAGTGTTGAAACTGGATGTGGGAGCAAGTATCAAATGATCTACACTCCCCTCCATAAGTGTGGAAACTGGATGTGTGAGCATGTATCAAGTCAAGCACCATCAGCATCATGGATAGCCGCCCCAAGTTTGGATCAATGTGATTTCATTGAATGTCATACACAGTAATAATAAATATTTCTACTTATACACTATTATGTCACCACCAAAAGTGGTGACATATTGTTATGGTCTCCGTTTTTTTTGCGACGGCGGTTGGTGGTTGGCGTCCGGCGTCCGGCGGTTGGTGGTTGGCGTCCGGCGTCTGTAACAATTTCTTACAACTTCCTATAACTTAACAAATACTGTTTAGACTGACTTCAATTTTTTTCTAAATCATCTACATGTTCTCAGAAGTTCAAATCTGACTTTAGATTTGACATTTGACCTTCAATGACCTTCTCAAGGTCAAAAAGGTCTTTTTTCAACTTGCTTCACATTGACTAAATTTTTTTTCAAAATCATCTATATGTTCTCAGAAATTCAAATCTGACTTTAGATTTGACTTTAGATTTGACATTTAACCTTCAAATCTGACTTTAGATTTGACATTTGACCTTCAATGACCTTCTCAAGGTCAAAAAGGTCAAAAAGGTCTGTTTTCAACTTGCTTCAAATTGACTAAATTTTTTTTTCAAAATCATCTATGTGTTCTCAGAAATTCAAATCTGACTTAAGATTTGACTTAAGATTTGACATTTGACCTTCAATGACCTTCTCAAAGTCAAAAAAGGTCAAAAAGGTCTTTTTTCAACTTGCTTCAAATTGACTAAATTTTTTTTTCAAAATCATCTACATGTTCTCAGAAATTCAAATCTGACTTTAGATTTGACATTTGACCTTCAATGACCTTCTCAAGGTCAAAAAAGGTCAAAAAGGTCTGTTTTCAACTTGCTTCAAATTGACTAAAAAAAATTTTAAAAATCATCTACGTGTTCTCAGAAATTCAAATCTGACTTAAGATTTGACTTAAGATTTGACATTTGACCTTCAATGACCTTCTCAAAGTCAAAAAAGGTCAAAAAGGTCTTTTTTCAACTTGCTTCTAATTGACTAAATTTTTTTTCAAAATCATCTACATGTTCTCAGAAATTCAAATCTGACTTTAGATTAGACATTTGACCTTCAATGACCTTCTCAATGTCCAAAAAGGTCAAAAAGGTCTTTTTTCATCTTGCTTCAAATTGACTAAATTTTTTTTTCAAAATCATCTTCATGTTCTCAGAAATTCAAATATGACTTTAGATTTGACTTTAGATTTGACATTTGACCTTCAATGTCCTTCTCAAGGTAAAAAAAGGTCAAAAAGGTATTTTTTCAACTTGCTTCAAATTGACTAATTTTTTTTTTCAAAATCATCTACATGTTCTCAGAAATTCAAATCTGACTTTAGATTTGACATTTGACCTTCAATGACCTTCTCAAGGTCAAAAAAGGTCAAAAAGGTCTGTTTTCAACTTGCTTCAAATTGACCAACTTTTTTTTTCAAAATCGTCTACATCTTTTCAGAAGTTCAAATTTGACGTTTACAAGTTCTCAGAAGTTCAAATCTGACTTTAGATTTGTCCTGTGACCTTCAATGACCTTCTCAAGGTCAAAAAGGTCTTTTTTCAACTTGCTTCAAATTGACTAATTTTTTTCTTCAAAATCATCTACATGTTCTCAGAAGTTCAAATCTGACTTTAGATTTGACATTTGACCTTCAATGACCTTTTCAAGGTCAAAAAGGTCTTTTTTCAACTTGCTTCAAATTTACTTAATTTTTTTTTCAAAATCATCTACATGTTCTCAGAAGTTCAAATCTGACTTTACATTTGACATTTGACCTTCAATGACCTTCTCAATGTAAAAAAAAGTCAAAGAGGTATTTTTTCAACTTGCTTCAAATTGACGAATTTTTTTTTCAAAATCATCTACATGTTTTAAGAAGTTCAAATCAAACCTTCTTAAGGTCAAAAGGTATTTTCCAACTTGCTTTAAATTGACCAAATTGTTTTAGGTGGTGACATTTTGTCATGTTAATGCCTTGTTTAAATAATGTTACCTTTCTCCAGTTGCGCTGACTTTGTTCTCAATGTGCTCATGGTGCAATTGTTGTGCATGTAGTAGATATTCTTCCATGCCTGCTCTCTCAAATGCTGTGAGTTTGTTATATTCCTCTTTGCTAAGGTATTTCTCTGCAACAAAATTTGGCACAATCATTTCATGGAAACACAATTTGACACAATCATTTATTGAAAATACACTTTGGCACAATCATTAATTGAAAGTACACTTTGGCACAATCATTTCCTGGAAACATAATTTGGTACAATCATTTATCGAAAACAACAATTGAGTGAAAACACAATTTGGCACAATCATTTCTTGATAAGACAATTTGGCACAATTATTGATTGAAAACACAAAATGGCACAATAATCCATTCAAAACTCACTGTACATTGATTTAATGAAAACATTATATGGCACATCCAATTACTGAAAATACGCTAAGGCACAATGATTTTCTGAAAACACACTGTGTCACAATCACTTATTGAAAAACACACTTTGTCACAATCATTTACTGAAAACAAAATCATTTATTGAAAACAAAATCTTAACGTATTGATTTCTGCTCTATTTCCAATGCCTAATCATGGGCTTTCAAGATATATTGTTGCAACACAATTTCCAATGAATTTAACGAAAGAACTGGCGTCAATATTTTGGATACCTAAAGCTATAAATTATAGATTGCAAAGTCTATTTATTCAACAATTATTTTTTTTGGGAAAGATGGCCAGTCTGCCTGATCGTCTTTAAGCTTATTTTTTAGGAAGAGCAAACACAACCATTTACTGTAAACAAAATCATTTATTGAAAACAAAAAAAAGTATTGCATGAGTTCTGCTTCATTTCCAATACATAATCACAGGCTTTCAAGATATATCACTTTGGTAACAATATCGGAGTCAATGTTTGTGTATAATTAGTCAAGAAATTAACACGCAAAATGTCACTTACTGAAAGCATGACTCTTGGTCATATCACTTCGACAGGCATAGATGAAGAACATGATGATGCGGGCGATATGGCTCAGGATGATCAATGGAGGGGCCAGAGTTGGGCGATCAAAGTATTCATAGATCAAGTTGTACCTGTAGAAGCGCCACACTTTCTCAGAATTCTCTTGCACCTTTTCAAAGGTATGGCTAAAACAAACAAACAAAAAGAAATGTTTTGAAATGCATCTTAGAAGCGTGCCTTTTCTCACAAAACATATTCGAACAGAAAATATTATTTTAAATTGACATTGACTGATTCAACAATGGCAAATATGTTAATGTGACACACAGTAAAATGTGAAAAGTGGAACAACACAATATACAGTGTTCCCCACAGAATTTTTCTCAAGTGGATGCAAATTTTTTATTTTCACAATTCAGACCAAAATTTGCCAATTTTTCATTATTTTTGCCATTTTCAAGTGGGTGCAAATGAATAATCAGTTGGGTGCAGGCATTTTTTCAAAATTTCAGGTGGATGCTGCGCCCTCTTGCTTTAAAACTGGGGAGATCACTGCTATGTAAGTGGAACACCCCCATAAGTAGAACACTTACCCACACTCATTTATTATTGTAAAATGTATCTAGTATATTAAGAGGAACATGTTCTTCAACCTGGCCACCACTTTGAGGTAACAAGGTTTTCCACTTACTCAGGCTTTACTGTATAATTTAAAAGACAGAGTCTAAATACAATAAGGCCACTTTGGCCAGTTTTCCTGTCTAGGCTCATAAAAAGATAACAACTGATATCAGTACCATAATGACATTGCTTACATTTAAATGACTCTCTTTTTTTCATTTGTATTTAAAACGAAACTAATAAAGTTGTTTCTCAGTTTCCTTATTTAAACTTATTAAGAATAAATGAAAATAGAAATAATGTAACTCAAAGCCATTGCTGAATTTGAATTTGTGATATTTTTCAAATTAAGAGGTATTCAGAAATGGGATATCTCTGTTCTATCTTTTTGAGTTTTCGTTTTACAAGGATGGCCTACCTGAAGAGGGCTATAAGAATGACCAACCTAAGGAGGGCAATGAGAATGACCTTCCTAAAGAGGGCAATAAGAATGACCTACTTAAAGAGGGCAATAAGAATGACCTACCTGAAGAGGGCAATAAGAATGACCTACCTGAAGAGGGCAATAAGCAGGTTAAGGAGCAGCACATTGCTGACCATCATATAGATGGCGAATAAGATGATGGCCAGTGACGATTCTTCAGGACATCTCTCCGCCTCTGGGTCATTTCTCCAGATTGTTTCATTAGACGTACAACCTTCAAGCTCACCTGGAAAAACAAGTAATAGTATATCATAAACTTGATAGATTATTACAGGAAAACCAGTATATCTGAACACCTCTACTCTAATCCAAACACTTCAATGTGAACACTGAACACCTCTACTCAAATCCAAACACTTCAATGTGAACACTGAACACCTCTACTCGAATCCAAACACTTCAATGTGAACACTGAACACCTCTACTCGAATCCAAACACTTCAATGTGAACACTGAACACCTCTACTCGAATCCAAACACTTCAATGTGAACATTGAACACCTCTACTCGAATCTAAACATTTCAATGTGAACACTTTTTTTTTATTATCTCCCTTTTTCTTATTATCTTCTCACTTATTAAGGAAGCTTGAAATAGCAACAATCCATTCTTTACCTTGACTCAGGAGGATTCAAATTAGACAGGTTATTTCATTTTTTGTTTTAGTGGAGAATATATCATTGTGGTAACAATGAGAAGGTGTGGCGTGGCATATTTTGCCACAATCTAGTCTGCAATCTAAACTGCTAGTCTGGATTTGATCCCAATTCATAGCGGGATTCATAGGCTGTCAAGAAGTAGACAATGGTTTTCTAAGAATCGTAAATTAAGATTGTACCTAAAACAACCCCTGGATAGTTCAAATACATTTGCTTGTCAAAAACATAATTATGGTAAATTATGATTATTATTCAATGACATTATCCTATTTGGAGATGAAAGGTTATTTATTTTAATAGCACTGACACTTAATTGATAAGGTACATATTAATATGTAAAACAAATAAAGTTTAATACTCAAAAACTGAATGACAAATCTGACATTCTGATATAGGCAATTAGATCGAAAAACTAAAACAAAAGTACAACTTAATCATAGTTTCTTTTTTGAAAAACCAAAATCCTGGTTCTAAATGCATGTAAGTCAGACATCCTTGTATCATAAAATCATAAATCTAATAATCAAAACAAAAGTATTGTAGTCTATATCTCTTTATTAATTTTGAGAAATTGTTCCAAAATTAACATTTCTTCTAATGAAACAGTTACTTCATTATAAGTTCAAAGATGGGTTATTATGGAAATTATTAATTAATTAAAATTTTGAGAAAATTACTCTATATATCTGCTTTTTAACATTCATTCAATGTCCAGATATAGGCGTTTTAAAAAGGAAACCTATACTTGAAATAAAACAATAACTAACATGTGATGTGATTTATATTTGTCAGAAAGTTGTGTCAATATCTAATTAATTGATTATTACTAAGTATTCGGAGAAAAATATGATACCGATACAATTCGTAGCACTTCACCGCAAAACACATGTGCTTTGAAAACCTCTCAACTGATAAAACAATTACTTCCTATGTATATTTAAAGAGCGTGTGGATCCTAAAAATTATTCAATAACTTTGAAAAAAAATTATCTTATCTACAGTTTATTTTATGCAGACATGTTTCAATGTCCTATATCAAAAGGAAACCATTCTTCCGATTGGTCTAAGACCTGTGATTTCATCATCCAGGACTTTGACACTTGTGCAATCGAACATCTGATATTTTCGAAATGAAACTTGTTCAAATTAAAAGCAGGACACTCTTAAATGTCAAATATCATGGTATGTTAGATAACACTTAGTTTCATTTCAATTGAAAATATTAAAGCAGATATGAAATGGTATTTTTAACCTAAAGGAATCAATATAATTTTTTGATAGATGTATTTGGACATGTTTTCTCATCAGTATTGTGAAAACTATTTCACTCTAACGACTGTTATAGCTGCTTAATAAGCAATATTCGAATTGGTTGTGACGTTATTGGCCCCCACGTGATCTCTCACTGGTCCCCACACGGCCCGTTTTGGTCCATTAGATCATGACGTCATAATGCCAAAATGTTTTGTTATTTGTTTACACAACAATTCTATGGTTGCCGTGACGTTGTGATTTCTATGGAACCAATAAACCAAAGCTATATTTTGTATATGACGTTACTTATCACGTGGGGGCCAATTTGATTTATCGGTTAGTTTTATTTCGTTATCTATGACCGTTAGCAGTTATCTAACATTTATTTTATAATGGCTATCGCAAGAATTCTACGGTGGGCTTACAATGGAGAAAACCGCATTTTTGTAGCTGCAAGTTGAGAAAAGCTATTTCAGTTGTCCTTTAAGTTTCGTTTCACTTTACGATACGATACTGTGTGGCATAAGTGTGATAAATTCTGTGACTGACAATTCAGACTTTCAAATAATAAGTGATACTTGTTCTCTGTTTAGAACAACTGCATAAGCCATGTGGCATTTTGACATATTTAAGAGTCACTTCGAAACAACATGTGTCTGAATTCTATATATTAAATAAATAGTATCATGGGTACTGGGCTCACATGATGAAGCACAAAAAGTGAATTTTCTGTGACAAAAATGGCAGCCTTTTTGAAAATATCCAGACGAGCTTTTAGACTAGAAGTCAAAAGGGATTTTTCTCTATTAAGCAAAAAAAGTTATAATAGGATTCCTATTGACAGAGGTTTTAAAATGTGCCACTATTGTTGACAGACAGACGGACACACAGACAGACAAACCCTTTTGAATGATTTTGGTGAGAGCATGACTTGACAGCATGTGATTTGTCGAAATCACAAAGTCACAAAATAAGTACACCACTACCACTACACTGTGAACATGCTATCTATACAAAGTTCTGGATCATTCTTACAAAAGGGTCGTTCTTTTTAATGTCACCCTGTAAGATAAGATTGAGCTTTGTATTCTTATCTAATTTCTTTGAATTTTGAACTCCCTTTTTATTATTAAGCATTACTCTTTTATGGTAACTATTTATGAAATGTTATAATGATATGTCTGCACTAAGTTCACTATACAATACAGAGTAACCCCAAAATACTAACATTTTACAAAAAGCCATGTGTCTTTTTTATCTTATTTAGGTACAAGAAGGGAGAGTTGGGAGGGGGTACAAAGTCTTATCCTATGACAAGCAGGGTTTAAGCACATAATAGCGGGATATAGAATTGATATCTTGGGGAAGAGGGACATATATGTCTCCCGCTGTTTATCTCCCCTTCCAATATTTCTGGAAAAACATTTTGTTCATTTTATTTGTACTACTGGTTTAATACTTAAGTACTGCATATGAAATATGTATAAAGTAGGAAGCACTTTAGTATGTACTATTCTTGTAGTACAATTATGTAGAATAAATATGAATAAACAGCAGGTTTAAAAATCTCCTAATTCTATCAATGAGATATAAAAGTTATAAGTCCAGGTCCTCAGTAAGATATCTATATTTCCCTCAGGATATACCCCATATCCAAAACCTCCCCATAATATAACCCTCATTTATTTCAAGGATATACAGGGATATGTTGAGCTGGGCCTGTAAATTCTCAGGTACCTCTTTTAAATGGACATATGACCTAACAGTATAATGTCAAAAATAAGATAATAAAAAGATAACTATTTCAGAAGGCCACTGGTAAACAGGGAAGTTGTAACATGGATCTGGATGGTTTTGGATCTGAAACGTGAGTCAATTTCCAAGCAAATCAATGAATATGTTGTCATTGTTTCCAAGAGATGACCACCTAATGACAACTGAATACAAGAAATACCACCCACTGTATAGGAGGCCACAACTGTACAAAAAATGTACTCAGACTATTCAATATTTTCTATATCTTGTAAATAGTCTAACCACAAAACCGCAAGGTGATTTTGTTATTTGCTGAGGTTATGATCTTAGTTATCTCAGTTAACCACTTCCAAATCTGAGAATTTTGTCACATGTTTCATTTATCTCAAGGATTTCTCTGAAGTTCTATTATTGTTTGGATAACAACAGTAAACAAGTAAACAGAATGTGATAAACAAACACAAATATTATAAACAATATTCGCATATAACGTGAGAATTAATTGTTAGAAAATAAGTAAAATAATATAAAATAAACAATTATATAAATGAATAAATAAATATTACATTCTGTAACTATAAATTGGTAACCCCATTCAGTTACAAATCCAATTTAACAAAACATGTTTCCTCAAGTCATTCGACTTTATTTGCTAGGAAAACCAGGGAGGAACAATATATTCTTAAATCAAATCCAATGCAAGTCATCATTCTAATTATTGCAAAAAGTTAATTTTTTTTCAAATATGTCAAACGACAGACTGCTTCTCTATAGCTCTAAATAAACTTCTAATTGCATTGGAGAATTTAATCTGCATCTAAAGTAAAGGGCTTGTAAAACCTACATTATGTGAACACCATTGTAATCGGAATACCTCTCAATACAAATAATATACCTAGTCAAGCTTGAAATGTGGACAACTGTTATTCCGTAAAAACCCTTTTGACTTTCGGCCCCAGTTTGGATTTATCAGGATCTATTATAAGACTCCCATATTTTGAGAGTTTTTAGGTATGTATGGCATTTATTTGTATATAAAGCAAAACTAACAAAAACAATCAACAGAGACATCTTTCAGAAGTCTACATGTCAGTTAAAGCATAGACAAGCTTTGGTTTCTCAGAAAAGAGTCTATGAATGTATGTTATGACTATAAAGAATGTAGTGTGTGATGATATAATTATAGTGTCTGGTGTTCAAAAGCCATTTAAGGTGCACGTGTAGTATACCTACATGACTTCAATTTAAATACTTGGCGGTCATGGAAATCTAAATGCTCTTGTATCTGATTATGCAGATTTCCTTAAACATTAGAATACTTCTGGGTCTTGAAATTATAACACAATTTGCACAAGGCAAATGCATGCCAAATGCCAAACAGTTGGAGACTATATAGAAATAATTCAAGACTTAAGGTAGTGACATAATAACCCCCCCCCCCAGTCAATCTTTATCTTACCTTTTAAGGATTTTCCAATTTAACGTATCTCAAACACACTTGCATATTTCAAAAAAAAAAATTGGTTACTCGAGGTAAAAGACATGTCATGACCAGCGA